CCCCCCCCCCCCCCCCTCTCCTCCAATGCCCTCAAGGCACGAGTCTCTCATATCCTAACCTCCGCCTCCTCCGCCCTCCCCATCCCAACCGGGCTATGCCAGACGGCTTAGGGTTTAGGGTTTAAGTTAAGGGTTTAGGGTTCAGGGTTTAGGGTTACGCGAAAGCGTGAAGTTGTATAAGCTGCTTAAAGCCAACATGAACACAACATGCTCAACAATCGATTGGGATGTTACCACGGCCTGAATGTACAAATGACAACTACTTCCTTCATATTGAAATGACAATGAACCCTAGCGGGGTCCCCGGCTTGCAGAAAGCTACAACTTCTACCCTCAGCCTGCAAGCCCCAGACTTAATATATATATATATATATGCCAAACCCTATCGTAAAATTATTAATAAGGCGCCTTTATGATTCTTCTTCTTCTTCTTACTATTATTTGGCTTTTGTCAGTTTTATTCTTCAAGAAGCAACCTCAGCACAGCAAGCCGAGAGGCGCTGAAGCGTAGACGCCTCCTCTCTTCACGCCTCCCCATGGAACGACCTGCGCCGGCTGGAGGTTTAGGGTTCCGGGTCTATGGGTTTAAGGGTTTAGGGTTTAGGGGCTTAGGGTTTAGGGTCTACTTGGCGGTTCAGGGGACTTAGTTAGTGGCGTACCAAGTCCGGCATCTGCAGTTATACTGTTGATGATATAAACCCTGCATTACCTTAAGGACCCTAAACCAGGGAACTATGGTATATTCTTTATTATGATAACGCCACTTAAGGTACCTAGAACCTCACTTACAAGGTCCCCTGACCCTCTACATGTTCGGAGCGGCTTTACGATGCTTGTCGGCCAAAGGCCAGGCGTTCTGGTTGGTTCTATGTGGTAGGCCAAGAATGCCCAACGAGCCCAAGACCCGTGATTCAGGAATATTGTGTTAAGTATGTGTAAGACATATTGCTGCATAAAGACCTCTCGGACTCTTTGGGTTGAGCTCAGTGCCTGTTGGGTCTTATGGGTTAGTGTAAGCCCCTAAACCACTAAACCTAGACCCCATCCCTAAACACCAAGCCCTGAACCCTAATAGCCCCTGTCAAATCCTGGACCTCACCATCTGCGCGAATAGCGGCGAAAGCGCCGGGGTTCGCCTCAAGATCAGATCCAAGGCGAAGTCCAGGTGCTACAGATCTGCTGCACGTACATGAAATGTCATGCACAAGCCATGCAGGAGATGTCTCTTTGCTCTTGCAGCGGCTAGTCTCCAAAACCATTCTCTTCGATGCCAAGACATACAAGCCTCACAACTTTCTAGGATCCTATTCAAATCATGACCCCCGGAAGGGATCATACTGTACAGAACTAAAGTAGCTTGGCAATGGAACAGGGTCCTCTCCGACCCTTTCCTAAGCGTCGGGTCAGCGATCATATGCAGTTAAAGCACGCGGGATGGCGCTCATCACTGCGAGCTGGGGCTCAACAGCCAAGGCTGGCTTCTCTTCTTCCAGCTGGCATGCTTCCTCATGCTTTTCAAGCATCAGTTGGGCTGCATTTGTGATTTCGGCGATCACCATCCTGCGCTCGTCCGAACCAACTTCTTGATCCAAGACTTGCAGGTTCTTAGCCAACACCTTCATCTCCTCCTTCAAGTTCTTTATACCTTGGCTGACTTCTGACTTGCTACAAAAAGTTAAACTTTTAGTCTCCTTGTTATAGTCCATACAGAAACCCAAACGATCACAGTCCTAATAGCCAACCAGAAGAACACCAAGATACATTCTTGCATCTCCTCCTGACCAGTCTGAGTGTCGACCAGCTTCTCGCGAAATGTGCGCAGGAATGCGTCCATGCGCTCAAGCTCTGGGGTCACGCATTCAGCATAACCGCCAAGCCCCCTGGAAATCTCGAACAGATGGACCAGGAGTTCATCGTCATACGGCCACATGGCCAGGAGAGCCGCGTAAGCAAGCGCGCACGCAAGCCCGCCAGATCCGGTCGCAGCCCTCAAGGCAAAAGTCACGCCAAGCTCTGTGACAAGACGTACTCCGGGGCGACTTGCAAGGTAACGGCGGAAGAATTCAAGGATGCTTCCCGTTGCTGTAGCCGCGGTTTTCAACTCCGCGGCCTGCTGAATGGCGGGCTGAAGCTTAGTGAAGATGCTGTCGACGTGTTGCAAGGAATCTTTCGCCTGCGCAGGTATGAGCATACTAAGGAGGACTCGCCCTGACAATCGTAAGTTGCAGCTTCGTGTATTCATCTTTAGGTGCTCCTAGCAAACGGTTCTGGAACCATGTGACCTGCAAAAAACTATCTTCACAGTGTTTCACACAAGTAAACAACGTCCACACCAACAGTTGCGCATACAACTCCAACCGTGCCTGCTCCTGGCACGCATCAAGTGTCGATAGCACCTCCTCCGCAATGTTGCTAATGTCTCCGAACGTTCTGCTCAATTCGCGGGTGGTTTCGAGTGCAGCCGCATCCGTTCCGTTGCTCAGCAACTTTACCGAGGCATCTGCTGAACGAAGATTTCGATCTAACTGCTCCATGAGGGACTTGAGCCTTTTGCGATTGTGCTGCCATTCATGGCCCAGATGCCTCAATGTCTGGCCGTCCTCTTGCATCTCAGCTAGGCCAGCCTGAATTTGGCTTACCAACCGAAACATGTGACTGTATGGTGCCATCAGGTCTTCTCTAGCTGAGGGCGTAAATCTCTGCAAGGTTCTGGCGAGGCGACTCAGGCGTCTCTCAAGTTTCGGATCTACTGCCTGCAAGCTGACGACATAGTGCCGCAACATCGACTCCGACTTGTTTGCCAAATCCTCTCTTGGCTTTCCGTGAAAAAGGAGGCCATACGTCTCGATGTTGTGCACTTGAAGATCAAGCCCGTCTGGTGGCTCACCAAACAACCAAGAATAGTAGCGCTCAGCGTCGTCAACTGGGTGCAACGTAGTCCAATCCTCCGACGGCTGTGGCCAGAATAACACGATCATTGAGCACAGAGGCCGGTAGCTCTTCAATTCTTTAGGCAGCCGCGGTGTGATGCCAGCAAAATTGAGAAGCCCACTTCCAAGTGAGATGCTTTGGGGAGCGAGTTGGCGAAGCGCCTCAACGTTGAATGGAAGTCTCACCACCGGGTCCTTCACATGTGCTATGTTCGTGCAGGCTTCGGCCAGCCACTTCTGGGCCTTCTGCCGGAGAGCATCTCGGCAATGAGCATCTACCGACCTTGGTTGAAGAAGCCTTGACATCACACATAACATAAATCCCCATGAGCACTGCCTGACAGTATTCATCTGAACATCCTTGTGCCTGACTCAGTCATGTGGCAGTTGCAGGTTTGCGAAGGGCGCGGGGCTCCCAAATGTGAAGCAGCGAGCGTTCTTGACGACATCACGGTAGGTGGCCTCGCCGCCATTGACGTTGACAAACTTCTTCCAGAGCCATAGCATGCATATCCTGAGCAAAGTTGGGAGGATGGACAAAGTGTAATGTGAGGAGATGCGACATGTCCCTACCCGACCCAACTACATGTCTTAGCAGCCTCTCAGCAGTCTTGATGCCCGTACCCTAAACCCTAAACCCTAAACCCTAAACCCTAAACCCTAAACCCTAACCCTACACCCCAAAACCCGTAGTGTTCACCAAGCGTCTGAGCTAAGGCACCTCCGAGGGAGTGGCCAGCGACGAGAACATCCTTGGAATCCGATGGGTCCAAGGACTGCAGAGCTTCGACAAGCTTTTGCCTTACTTCCCCAAGAAGCCAAAGAAAATGAAAGGTTAAACTTTCAGACTAAGTTATAAAAACTCAAAAAGTTTAAAGGTTGGGTATTGGAGAACTAAGCTGCTGCAAGTCCGTATCAGACAAACGCGCACGCCAGCCTGAATGCACCTGCATCCCCAAATCAGCAAAGGTCTCCTTGCATGGCTCCGCCCCTAGGTTGGCCATCATGTCCGTCACAGTCTCAGTCCCTTTGAAGGCCAGCAGGTAGAGGTGCCATTCTTCGAGGGTACCGCCGGTGACTGTGACGTCAAATGTGGCAACAAAGCCATAGTGCTTTCTCAGCCGTGCCACGGCCTTATATATACAAATCTCGCTACACTGGAGGTCCCACTCCATGGAATCCTGCTGCTCCTGGTCGGCACTCGTGTACACCCAGCTTGATGCTCTCAAGGCAAGCCATGCCTTCAAGAGATCCTTGATCTCCTTTAACTGAGTGCGCACCTTACTTCCCCAATAAACCAGGAAAACACAAGGTTAAACTTTCACATTACTACTAAACTATAAGGGCCCAGAAAGTAAGTTTAAGGTTGAGTAGTGGAGAGCCCAGGCACATCGGGCCTTCTGTCCATGATCGGGTTTATGCCGCTCCGTGGCACAGGAGTCCGGACAAGTCAAATACTGCTAACTCGAACCGACCATGCCTTCGGTGCTCCAACAATCTCCTACTCTTGTTTCTTGTGGGATGCGTGTGCGCTTGATGTGGGAAGTTCTTCGTACGGTAACGAGAAAAGAACACACGTCATGGACTGGGCATCTGGAGGGAAAGGCGTGCAACAATCTCAGCTGCTGCACCCACATGGTTGGCCAGTCCTAAACCCTAAACCCTGAACCCTCAACCCTAAACCCTAAGTTCAGATACTAGTTCCTAGCACACATCATCGAAAATGCTGCATAAAGTCTGTGCTTGGAGGCGCATGGGCTTTCAACCAAGTGTAACATGACGAGAACCCTTCAAGGAACGCTTAGAGGAGCCCTTTTCGGCCCCTACACTCTAACCCTCGCCTTGTTTATAGAACCCTAAACCCTAAACCCCTAAACCCCTAAACCCTAAACCCTAAACCCTAAACCCTAAACCATAAACCCCTAAACCCCTAAACCCTAAACCCTAAACCCTAAACCCTAGTGGATCCTTCAAAGGAGCCCTAAACTGTTCTAAGGGAAACTTACTAGATGATTGGAAGGAACTTAGAGGTTCAGGGGGACTTAGTAAGTAGGCTCATAAGTAAGGTAACCATAGCTACATCTACGTAGAACAGTTAAGGTACCTGTAACCCCACTTACTAAGTCCCCCTCTTCCCTGGTCCTTCAAGAACCCAAAAAAGTTTAGGGTTTGCGGTCTAAGGATCCTTAGAAAAGGGCTTACTAGGTCCTGTTCCCTGATCTCAAAGGTTTAGGGTTTACGCTCTAAGGATCTTTTCTTAGGGTCCTCTTCGCCCAGCGGCTGCAATCTGAACGACATCTCGAAGCCGATGTTGCACTGCACCTCGGCTGAGGGGGGGGGGGGGGGGGGGNNGTAGGGTTTCGGGTTTAGGGCGCAGGATTTCCTAGCACATTTAGGGCCTACAGGAGCAAGCTCGAACTCTGGACTCTAAGCCCTAAGATCCTAAAACCATAAAGCCCTCAACCCCGAGCCTTGCTGTGGCCCCTGAACCCTAAGCCCAGCTAAATCAGACAAGCTTCAGCCTAAACCGTAAAGCCTTAACCCGAAACCCGAAAATCCATCGGACAAGTTTCAGCCGAAACCCTAAAGCCTACACCCTAAACCCGGAAAACACAGTTTGTTTTCTCAAGGGCCCTTTGGCTGGGCACTTAACACCAAAAAAGCTGTGTTTTCCGGGTTTAGGGTTTAGGCTGTTGAGGGTTTAGCGGAAATGCAACATCCTAAACCCCACACCAGGAAGCCGAAACTGACCTAAGCCAGACGAGCTTCAGCTGCAACCACCCGCTCTCGGGTTCCCCCAAGCCACCACAGATCCTTGGATTGGATTAAAAGGATTGAGGGTTCAGGGTTTAAGGGTTTCGGGTTTAGGGTTTGGAGTTCAAGTTTTTAAAGTGTGCTCCAAGCCACCACAGATCCTTGGATGGGTTTCGGGTTTACGATTTTTTAAGGTTTACTGTAGGGGCCTTAACCATCAGAATAGGGTATTGGGCTCCTTTATAGTATACATTTATCATAACGGACCCTAACAGCAATATTGGTAGTTGTTTAGGCTTCTCTGTAAGGGTCTCGGGTTTAAGGCTCTCAAAGGCAAAGGGGGTTAATCTAAACCCTAAACCCTAAACCCTAAACCCTAAACGGTTTAGGGACGGGGAGGCCAATAAGAAAAATCTTCTACAGCCCGTCGGCCTGTTCCTTGCCGACAGCCCGCAAGAAGCGAAAAGCTTCACAAAGAGGCCAAAATAACAAGACACCGATTTTGGTGGGGTTTCACCCTAAGCCCTAAACCCTAAACCCTAAACCCCCAAGCCCAGGATAAACACAAATTGTTTAGGAAGGAAAATTGAGCAAAAGCAAAAGGCAAAACCCCGTCAAAACCCGCACAAAACCGCACAAAACTCAGGACCTGAACCCTAAACAATTTGTATAAACCCTGAACCCTAGACTTCTAATATTATCAGGGACTTCACAGAAGTTATTTGTAACTTAGGAAAACTTGCATGTTCCGGGTTTTAAAGTTTCAGGACTGGGCTTTTGTCTCCGGGACCTTAGAAACCCACAGCTTCAGCTTACAAGGCACGCCTTTAGAAGAACTCGCACAAACTCCAGGTGCAACCCCTAGAAAACCCTGTAGAAGGCCGCAGCAAGAACCTGCTAAAACCAACAGACCAACACCATAAGTCCTATAAAACCACAAGAGAACCTGTGCTAAACAAAAACCTAGAAACCACACTAAACCCTCAACCCTAAACCCCAAACCCTACACCCTCTCTCAAACTCTCAAACTCCCAACTCTGCCGAGGATCCGTCAGCACAAAGGGCCGCAAAAGCGTCGTCCGTGGCCTTGCCAGAAACTCTTCACCGGGAGGTTGGGGTCAAGGAACCCTAAATCCGAAACCCCTCAACCCCTTCCTTAACAGGAGCCCTAAACCCTAAACCCCTTAAAGGACTCCTCAAAAGGAACCCGAAACCCCTTAGCTCCTTAAAGGAATCCTTAAAAGGAACCCTAAACCCCAAACCCCTTAAAGGAATCCTTAAAAGGAACCCAAATACCTAAACCCTTTTTAAAGGAATCCTTGTAGGAATCCTAAACCCAAAACCCCTTAATAACAGGAATCCTAGAGCCCTTTAAAGGAACCCTGAACCCTAAACCCCTTTAGGGAATCCTTAAAAGGAACCCTCAACCCGTTGAAGGAATCCTTAAACGGAGCCCTAAACCCTAAACCCCTCTTCAAGGCATCAAAGGAACGCTAAACCCTAAACCCCTTAGTTAAAGGACTCCTAAACCCCTTAAAGAAATCCTTACAAGGAACTCTTAACCCCTTAAAGGAATTCTGAAAAGGAGCCCTAAACCCTAAACCCCTTTTCAAGGAATCCTTGAAAAGAGCCCTAAACCCTAAACCCCTTAATCCAGGAATCCTAGAGCCTGTTAAAGGAACCCTAAACCCTAAACCCCTTAAAAGAATCCCAGGGCCCCTGAAAGGAACCCTAAACCCTAAACCCCTTAAAAGAATCCCAGAGCCCCTTAAGGGAACCCTAAACTCTAAACCCCTTAAAAGAATCCCAGAACCCCTTAAAGGAACCCTAAACCCTAAACCCTGTTAAGGGTTTCTCTACGAGGCATTATCGGGCTTTCTCGCGTTGGCTTAACCCTACTTGGAGGATCAGCGGACTTAGCAAGTGGGGCTATAATATAGGGGCCTTTATAATTAGAATAGGGTTTTGGGGCCCATTATACTATAACTATAATAAGGAACCCCCACAATAGTATTGGCAATTATTTGGGCCCTTACATCAGGTGTTAGGGTTACGTAGGGGATCAGGGGACTCAGTAAGTGGGACTCGAGGTACCAGAATCAGAGCCACGGTTTAGGGTTTAGGGTTCAGGGTTTAAGGTTTAGGGTAATCTAAGGTAACTGCTATCCGAAACCTTCCTTTCCCCAAACCAAAACCTAGTACTGAACTATTGGGCCCGTGAGGCTTTAGGTTAGGGTGGCGCTACCGGCTGGGTTAGGGTTTTAGGGTTCAGGACTTAGGCTTAGGGATAAAGACTTAGGATTAGGGCTTAGGGCGTTTGCAGGTCTTAGTGTGGATCGCCAACGCACTTGAGCCGCACATCCGAGGAACAAAAAAACAACGTCGAAACCCAAGAAAAGCCTGGGGTTTAGGGTTTAGAGTTTAGGGTTGGGTTTTGGGTTTAGGGTTCGGGGTTTGGGGTTTGGGGTTTAGGGTTTAGGGTTTAGGGTTTAGGGTTTAGGGTTTAGGGTTTAGAGTTTATGGTTGGGGCATTGTGGGGCTCAGGTTCAAAAATAGGGCGCAAAGATTTAGCATGTAGCTTGTTGCTCAGATTGAGGGGGCATGCTCAAACATGTCGGTGCAAAATGACTTGGGCGAGCTATACAGGGACGTGCAGCCACACAAGCGTCGCTGCCTGAATGTGCCGCACATTCTGTAGGAGATGTGCCACCTCATGCGCGGTTTCGAACTGATACGTACCGCTGCAAACCCTAAACCCTAAACCCCTAAACCCTAAAGCCTAAACTCCACCCCGCTTCCATTGCTAGTAACAGATACTGGCAAGAGGCAGAACCCCGGAACTCACGAGTGGCAAACTCCATAAGACCCTATAGAACTACATAGGAGTCGCTTAAAGGGTGTTGGGTTTACGAACTCTATAAGATATGTTTTACGGTTTAGGGTTTAGGTTTGCTTTTCGGGTTTAGGGTTGAGGGTGTAGAGCTCAAGGGTTCTATAAGGTTTAGGTTCCCCAGTAGCCCCTTAATTATACTGTAAGGGTACCCTTTATCCTACTCTTTGGCTTTAATAAGGCATTTAATAGGGGAACCCAAAAAGGAAAAGGGCAAAGGGGTACCACTGGGGAATCACCTAGTAACAATCAACTACGCACTACCAGCAACCACGGATCTCTGTGTCAGAATACTAATACTAACACGGTTTAGGGTTTAGGGTTTAGGGTTTAGTGACGAACATCTGCTCACGACATGACCGAGGCCGTGTCCCTAAACCCTAAACTGGCACTGGTAAACAAGATCCTCAAGCCATCTCACCTGCAATTCGCGCTCCGGGGCTAAGTAGTGCGTTATGAAGGCGTCCGGGGGCCGACCCGAACTACACCCTAAGCTCCCCAACAAGACAGCCACGAGAACCACGAACCCTAATTCCCTGAAACTCAAGGTCAGAGTTACTCGAATTATCCCATGTTCACAACAACCCTGAAAACTGAACCCTAGACCCTGAACCCTACAGTGCTAAGGCCGAAGAAGGGGCAGCACAAACCTGATAAGCCCCTTGTAGAACACTCGTTGAGGAACCCTTGTAAGGAACCCCGAAAACTTACTTCCCCAATAGGCCACGGAAATGAAAGATTGAACTTTCAGGTTAATACTAAGT